AAAAAAAAAAAAAAAAAAAAAAAAAAAAAAAAAAAAAAAAAAAAAAAAAAAAAAAAAAAAGCAAACCTTCCTGTAAGCCATTGGGGGCCCCCCTAAGGGGCCCCTGTAAGGGGAACCCTAAGGGGCCCCTGTGTATTTAGGGTATTAATAGGAGGGAGGGAGAGGGCACAGTATATTATTACCTGTTGTCTTTGTAAGTAAGCGCAGCCAAGGGCAATTCCTCTGCCTAATTTGAGGGCACTAAGGAAATGGGGTTGTAGGGGGCCCCCCGATAAAAGGGTACTGCAGGAGGTACGGGGGGCCCCCCTGCTGCTGCCTAGGCATTGTACTACACGAGGGACACCACAGAGTCTTGCAAGGGACTCTAAAGAAAAGTGTATTGAAGGGGAGACCTCAGGTCTCTGCTGCTGCTGCTGCTGCTGCTGCTGCTGCTGCTGCTGTTGTTGTTGTTGTTGTTGCTGCTGCTGTTGCTGCTGTTGCTGCTGTTGTTGCTGTTGTTGCTGTTGCTGCTGCTGGAAGCCTGCTGCTGGAGGGAGGGGGCCCCCTGACGGTGCGTTCTCATCAAGAGGGGGCCCCTGAGAAGTAGAATTGTTCAGGGGAGAAGCGGGCCCCCAACTCCCTGAAAGGGGGGCCCCTCCATCTTCTTCGGATTTCTTAATACTTGATGCCCTTGATGAGGGGGCCCCCCTTCTGTTCCTGTGGGCCCCCCCTGCTCTCCGGGGGCCCCCAAGGAAGGAAGGGAGACTTCTTCCTCTTGCATGCAGTCTTTCTATTGCCTCTGCTAAGGCAATAGGGACTAAACAAGAGGGAGGGGGGACAGAGGGGGCCCCCCTATTGTCCTCTATGTGGAGGGCCCCCCATAGAGGCTTAATAGGAGGGGGGGCCCCCCAAGGAGAAGAAGACCATAAACCTCCTTCTTGGCTTTCTTTATCTACAGATAAAGAAGGACAGTTAGGCGGGCCCATCAATAAATTATCTTCTTGGGGCCCCCCCGTTGCTGTACCCCCAGGTCTTAGGGAATTGTTGGGGGAGGGGGGCCCTCCAGAAGAGGGCCCCACAGAAGGGGCGCCCCTTGAAGAGGGGGCTCCCGTAGAGGGGCCCCCAGGTACTGGGAGGCCCTCGGAGGCCCCCATGAGGGGCCTAAAAGGGCTGGACCCACCCCTTGAGCTGCTGCTGCTGCTGCTACTTCTGCTGCTGCTGTGTGTATGGGAGATACTAGGAGAGATGGAGCTGTCTCCTGTGTCTCCGTCATGGCGTAGGGAGTGTTGCAGTGGTGTCCCCAGGTGCTGCAGCTGCTGCTGTTGTTGTTGTTGCTGCTGCTGCCTCTGCAGGGGCCCCCCCCCTGGGTGTCTCCTTGGTGGTGGTACCCAAGAAGGAGGAGAAGGAGACAGATGCATACCTAGGGGCCCCTTAGGCATATACTCCATGACTAAGCATACATGAAAGGAATGAGATAAGGAGACACCTAGCAGCATAACTAGATGGGGGTGCCGCAGCTGCTGCAGCTGCAGCAGCTGCAGCAGCAGCAGATCTGTATTGTTGCACAATACATCCAACAGTTTATCTTCTATCTCCTTAAGGGGCCCTCCTCCCATGGGGGCCCCACCACCTCCTGAATTGGTATTTTGTGCCCCCCCTGTAAGAGACGCGAATGTGAGGGGCCCCTCATTCCAAGGTGGTCCTGCAGCAGCTGCTGCGGATGCTGCTGCTGCAGCAGAAGCAGCAGCAGCAGGTGCAGCAGCACTAGTAGGCATATGATAAAAAAAATGCTGCTTCTTAAATACCTTTATTGCTACCTCCTTACCTAACCAGAAACCATAGAAGACGGTCGTCCTCCTCCCCCCTAGCCAGCAAACAAAATGTAGTTGCTCAAAGGGTATTAAGGACCCTAAATTAGGGGGGCCCCCTTTGCTGCTGCAGCAGCAACCGGGGACCCCAGTAGCTGAACCCTCTGGAGGTGTTGGAGGGAAAGAAAATCCACGGGGACCCCCTGTAGGGGGAACACCACCGGGGCCCCCTAGGGGCCCCTCAGATTCAGAGTACCCGCATGACCCACCACCAACTCGACCGCCGCTGCTGAAGGGGGCCCCTTGCTGCCCTCCTGCACCCTCTAAAGTACCAGAGGAAGAATATCTCTCCTGGGGGCCCCCATGGGGGCCCCCAGGAGAGGTACTCGTTTCAGGCAGCACAGATGCACCAGAAGAACTCAAAAATAAGCGATGTATACGACGACGACGGGAGGCCTGTAATCTGCATGCAAAACCCTAAACCCTAAACCCTAAACCCTAAAACACTAAACCCTAAAAGGAGGAAAAAAAAAGACAATCCCGCCCGGATTTATCATTTACATAAATACAAAGAGAAACACAAATAGGTAGGAATATATAGTTTTGTGGTTCCCATCTAGGGTTTAGGGTTTAGGGTTTAGGGTTTAGGGTTTAGTACCTAAGAAGTTTGACAAACATCAAGACGCGATTTCTTCCCCCAAAAGTTATCAAACCAAAATCCCGTTTTAGTTGAGCAGCAGTTAGGCAAAGAAATTCCTCTCCTGCAGCAGCAGCAGCAGCAGCAGCAGCAGCGGCAGCGCGCAGCGGCACAGCGCGCAGCGGCAGCAGCATGAGTAGGAGCAGCAGCAGCATAAGTAACAGTAGCAGGAAATGCAGCAGCAAAAGTAGTTAGTTGCAAAAGCAGCAGCAGCAGCAGCAGCAGCAGCCGTAGAACGAGACGCAGATACAGTGCCATCCCCCTTCTAGGAAAATTAGGGTTTAGGGTTTAGGGTTTACCTCCTACACGCCTAGCTAGTAATTTCTCAATAAACCCTTGAGGCAGTTTCTGCGTCCTTAGCTCTGCTGACGCTAATCGTAGCCAACACGCCAACTCGCTAGGACTCCATCGTACCGCTGCAGCAGCAGCAGCAGCAACGACAGCAGCAGCAGCAGCAGCAGCGAAGTATTAGTGGCAGTACTAGCAGTAGTAGCAAAACAATACAAACGGCATAGTCTAGCGATGCATTGCTCGCCTAAACCCTAAACCCTAAACCCTAGGTTCTAAACCTCTACGTGAGGAACTAGTGATTAGGCAGCAGGCACAGCTGCTGCAGCAGCAGAAGCAGCAACAGCAACAGCAGCAGCAACAGCAGGGAAAGCCCACCTTCTGCCTCTTCTGGCCAGCTATGCTCAGCGTTTTCTGAATCGGCTGATCACAGCATAAACCACCCACACCAGCCGCCAAACCCTAAACCCTAAACCCTAAACCCTAGAAAGAGACGCCGTACTAAATCAACTTCAACTCCCCCAAACGCCTTCTTACCTTCAACAGACACCGGAGACGCAGCAGCAGCAGCAGCAGAAGCAGCAGAAACAGAAGCAGCGGAATGGCCATAGCCTGAACCGCCGTTCACCTCCTGTACGCTACGGGGGGGGCCCCCTTGCTGCCCGTATGGAGAGGGGCCCCCTTGAGGGCCCCGGCCTTGAGGCCCTCCCCCATAGAGTGGGCCCCCTGTCCAGGGGGCCCCTGGGAAAGGTGGGGGGGGCCCCTCATATAAAGGGGCGGGGCCCCTCAACTGTACCCTTTTTCCGCCATAGAATTCTGAATAAATTAAAAGTCTTTCGGGGAGAAGCAAAGAACGACAAGGGCCGTGAAGAAAACATCCAACCCATTCGCCTGATCACAAACCCTAAACCCTAAACCCTAAACCCTAAACACTAAAAATGTGAACCCGAAAATGTAAACCCTAAAACGTAAACCCTTAACCCTAAACACTGAACCGTACATCATAGTGTAAGACTAAAAGTGTAAAACCCTAAACACTAAAACTAAACCCTAAACACTCAACTCTAAACCCTAAACACTCAACTCCAAACCCTAAACCTTAAACCCTAAACACTCAACTCTAAACCCTAAACCCTAAACCCTAAACAGTCAAGCTACAGGGAGAAATAGAGCAAGGGTTGTGACATCTTTACGCATCATAACCCTTTAGGGTTTACTTCCGACTTGTCTTTTAGGGTTTAGGGTTTAGGGTTTTCAATATAGAGCAACACTCTCAGGAATGGGCACCTCGCGCGTGCACGCGCAAAACCCTTGAGAGTCATAAACCCTAAACCCTAAACCCTCCAATCGAAGATATCACCCTGGGATATTGCGACGCGCCAGCCCTAAGTAGTGCTAAACCCTAAACAACAGTGAACCCTAAACCCTAGAACCTACACTAAACCCTAAACCCTAAGCTCACCTTACAAACCTTAATCTCACCTATGTTGTATCCGCGAGACGAAACCCTAGACAGCGCTACACCCTAAACCCTAAACCCTAATTCCTAAACCCTAAACCCTAGAACTCACCGTGATATACTGCAAGACGCAAATCCTAGATATTGCCCTAAACCCTAAACCCTAGATCTCCCCTTAGTGTTATCTCCACACAAACTCAAACCCTGCACAGTGCTAAACCCTAAACCCTAAACCCTAAACCCTAGTTCTCTCACCCTGATGTATCGCAATGCCTCCTCCTGTGCGCAGTTCAATAAAAACCCCCGGGCCCTCCCTTAGCCCTTTTTTAAATGTGCCAGAGAAGCAATGGCCATCCCTAAAACGCAAACCCTAAACCCTAAACCCGAAACCCTAAACACTAAACCCTAAACACTAATTTCTTATCGTTGCGTCCCGAGAGGTTTTCGCAATGCCAAGCATTAAGACCGTTAGCGGGGATGTAGTTTTGATGCATGAAGGGTTTAGGGTTTACGCTAAACCCTAAACCCTAAATGTGGTAGGGTTTAGTGTTATAAGATTATCTTCTAAACAGGACAAAACGGTGGGCTTAGCGATTAGGGTTTAGGGTTTAGCAGCACTTGAGTAGCAGGATGCCTCGCCCAGATGGTACGCCAGTTCCGTCGACAGGCCTGCGGAGAATACCTAAACCCTAAATCCTAAACCCTAAACCCTAATCTCTAAACCCTAGGTGTGCAGTCTACAATAAACCCTCAACAAGATGAATAAACCCTCGCTAGACGCTCTGGGGTTTGGCGGTTGACGACGAGCCCAGTTCAGTAGCAGGATAGGGTTTAGGGTTTAGCGTTAGGGGTTTAGGGTTTAGAGATTCTCACCCTCTGTACCGATCGCCAGTGTTTAGTAGTAGGGTCTCCCTAAGGGAGGCGGCTGCAGCACACCGAATGGAGAGCGTTTAGGGTTTAGGGTTTAGCTGCTGCTGCTACTCGTTGCCCTACAGTCGTACCAAGGTGTGTGTTTGCTTGATCTATTGAAATATAAGAGTCTAGGGTTTATGGTTTACGGTTTAGTGGGTCTAGGGTTTGGGGTGTAGGGTTTAGGGTTTAGGGTTTGGTAGCATCGGCATACCTTCAACCTCTGCCCGCACATTTGAGGAATCCATAGTTAGGGTTTTCTCCTTTAGTAGAGTTCCCTCATGGCTTGCAAAAGCAGCCGTGAGGGTTTCGTACCACAAGGAATTAGGGTTTAGGGTTTAGGGTTTAGGGTTCTACCCTGCGGCTGTTTGAGCGCTTCTGCCAATTGTTCTATTGGTAATGCGCTGTTGTTGAGGGAAAATCGATGGAAGGAGTCTCCAAATGTCAAATCTAGGGTTTAGGGTTTAGGTTTTAGGGTTTATCTTCTAGGGTTTAGGGTTTTGAAGCCACAGTGTGTGCAGGTTGCGAGAGCGCTGGATTGGCTGCATGCAGCAGCAGACAGCCGTCGTCATTTCTTCTTATTTATAATTATATAGTAATTATAATTAATTTAAAAGGGTTTAGTCTTTTTGATATAATTGAGATCTAATTATAAACCCTAATTTAGGGTTTAGGGTTTAGAGGACCGCCTTCCTACCTATGCCCTGCTCGGAGCTCCGTGTCACACAGCAAACCGGAAGATTCCTTCGAGGGTTTAGGGTTTAAGGTTTAGGGTTTTAAAGATTAGTGTTATTAAAAGTATAAATCATTCAGTTTGCAGCAGTTAGTAGTGTATGTGTCTGTGCTCCCAAACCCTAAACCCTAAACCCTAAACCGTAATTATGACATGGGTTTCTACTAACCTAAAAATCCCAAACCCTAAGGAAGATATGCTTGTACCATAAACCCTAAACCCTAAACCCTAGATCCTAAAGTCTAAGAGTTGTGTCTACTGCAGACACGCATTGTTCCCCCCATCCCTAGACCCTACTAATCCCTAAACCCTAAACCCTAAACCCTAGACAAGTCAGTGTAAGAGGATGCCTATAAATAAATTAGGCTATATGAATGTTATTGCATGAACCCTTGTTCCCTTAAACCCTATTCGCGTAGGAATTAGGGTTTAGGGTTTAGGGTTTAGGGTTTGCTGGTGTATAAAAAGAAAAGATCGCTCTGCAATTGCAGAGCTACCAGCTACCCAGCAGCAGCAGACACCAGTCTGGTGTGCTGCTGCTGCTGCAGCAGGAGCAGCACCAGCAACTACTGTATAGTTGCTGCTGCTGCTGCTGCTGTTGCATCTGCTACAATAACAGCAACCGCCATAGCAGATGCTGCTGCTGTCGCTGTTGCAACATTGTTGCTGCTGCTGCTGCTACTGCATTTGCTGCTCCTGCAGCAATTGCTGCTGCTGCTGCAGTACACAATTGTTGCTGCAGCAGTGCAACTGCTGCAATAATATAATAACTACTAACCCCGTCATATCTGGTGCTGCTGGTGCTGCTGCTGCTGCTGCTGTTCTCTGGTAAAGAAAACAATAGAATAAGCTGCAGCAGGACCATGACGAGCAAGAGGAGTACAAACAAGCATATCTGCTGCTTCTGCTGCTGCTGCTGCAGTTGCTGCTGCTTATCCTTGCTTACCTCGTGAATAGATAGCACTAGGCTGCAGCATAAGTCTTTGTAGTATATTATTATTAGGGAGAGGAGCAGGAGAGGATTTAATAATAGTAGGTGGTTGCTGCACGTAGCTGCTGCTGACAGCAGCAGCAGCAGCAGGATACTTAGATGGTGCAGATACAACATAAGGTACTGCTGGTGCTGCTTTCTTAACAGGAGGAGGAGCAGCAGCACGTACATAAGCAATAGGAGGAGTATACTTAGTAGGAGGAGGAGGAGGAGGAGGAGCAGCAACAGCAACAGCAGCAAACTTTGTTGGTGGTGCAGCAGCAACAGGTGCAGCAACAGCATACTTTGATGGTATTGGAGCAGCATACTTAGTAGGTACAGGGGGAGGTATCTTAGTAGGTACAGGTACAACAACAACAGGGAGAGGAGGAGCAACAAAAGAAGCATATTTATTCTTTTTATATCCTTTATTATGTTTATAATATTTATTCTTTTTTCCTTTTCCTTTCTTGCATTTATATCCATGACATAATTCTCTTTTTTCTGCTCCTTCTTCTTCTTCTTCGTCTTCCTCTTCTTCTCCTTCTTCTCCTTCCTCTAATTGTTTATTATTATCATCGTTCTCTTCCTCATCATCATCTTCTTCTGCTGCTGCTGCTGCAGTTGAATAGGATAGGTCTTGCTCTTGGTCTTGTTGCTCCTGCTGCAGCTGCTGTTGTGGTACTGTTGCTGCTTCATTTGCTACTGGGGATGCTGCTGCTGCTTCTTGCTGCTGCTGCTGCTGCTCTTCTTCCTCATTATTATTATTATTATTATCCTCTTGTGCTTGGAAACCCTCAATGACGTACATACCCCTACGGAGATTGTTGCTGCTGTTGTCCTCCATTGTTACTGCAGCAAGATATTCCTGTGGTATTTCCTCCATTGCTGCTGCTGTTGCTGCGGCAGGAGCAGCAGGTGCAGCAGCAGCTCCGGTGGTGGTATACACACATGCTGCTGCTGCTGCTACTACTAGACTAGATATAACGGTAGATTTCATTGTATATATTAAATATTTATTATATTATATATAAATAAAACAACTAAATAAATAAATATATAAAGAATTGTATTTATGTTCTTCTTTATTCGCAACAATATACAACAATTATACAAACAATTATATGCAAAACAAGCGATGGCTGAAGGGATTTTAGCAAGCCGTGCTAGCCAGGCCTGAGGTCACCTGTAAGCAAATAACTAGCTAAATGCCCTCACTCAGGAGGAAAATGACGGTAAAAACCAATAAAAAACCCTTTTTTGTATTTTATTTGCTTTATTTCAATTTATTTTAATTTAAATTTAAACTTTTATTGGAAAAAATTAACACTTTTTACCCCTCCTACACCCTTGGTGACCATCGCCACCAACCAGCGAATCACCGCAATGATGCAGGTAATCCACGCCTTTTTTAATTAAATTAACTATATAAATTAATTCCTTATTATTTATTTTATTATAGTATTATATATTAACAAAAGTAACTTAAAAGGAGGAAGAATTCATTGAATTTTATACCTTTTCTTGCGCCATCAACAAGCATCGATGCAGCTGGACCACCGCCAGTTGTCGCCACAGCAGCAGCAGCACCAGCAGCACAACCAGCAGCACAACCAGCAGCAGCAGCAGCAACAACAACAACAACAACAGCTGTTTGTTCTTGTTTGTTCTCTTGCGTATACGATTGTTTTCTTCTTTGTATTTGTATAAAGACGCTCTTCCTCTCGAGCGCTTTTTACATCAACACCAAAGAACTAAACCCTCGAAACCCTAAACCCTAAACCCTCGAAACCCTTGAAACCCTAAACCCTCGAAACCCTTGAGACCCTAAACCCTAAACCCTAGAAAAACTCAACGGACACCACAAGATGGAGATACAAATCTTAACAATTCAGATTCCTCAATCGCAGATAACGGAGGAGTTTCATGCTGCCTTTGCTGCTCCTAATCAGCAGCAGCAGCAGCAGCTGCAGCAGCAACAGGACAATAGTCAGCAGCCCAGCAACAGCAGCAGCACTAATGGAGCAGTGGCGAACGGTGTAGCTGGGGAAGGAGAAGGAAACAATTCTACCGAGGAGCAGCAACAGCAGCAACAGCAGCAGCAACAGCAGCAGCAACAAGACAGTCAATATCCTCAAGAAACGCCAACTGTCGGCATATCTAACCCCAGCACTCCTCGCAGCAGCAGGAGCGACAGCAGCAGCAGCAGCAACATTAGCAGCAGCAGCAACATAAGCATAAACAGCAACAGTAGCATAGACAGCAACATAAGCATAGACAGCAACATAAGCATAGACAGCCACATAAGCATAAACAGCAACATAAGCGACAACAGCAACATAAGCAGCAACAGCAGCAACAGCAGCAACAGCAGCAGCAGCAGCAGCATAACAGATGACGGACTAGACAGTAGATGCTATGAAGAATTTATATACGAAGGGATAAATCATAGAATTGAATTCTGCAGCTCTTTTCTTGGTGAATCCCCCCACGGTAATTGTTGGCAATGGTTCGGGATCGTATCCAAGAGACCTGCAGACGATCCCAATATTGATAGAGACGATCCCAGGAGAAACGATCCCAGAAGAGACGATCCCAGGAGAGACGATCCCAATAGAAATAGAGACGATCCCAATAGAGAAAGAGACGATCCCAATAGAGAGAGAGGCGATCCTAATAGAAGAATGGACGATCCCAATAGAAGAAGAGACGATCCCAACATAGAGAGAGACGATCCCAACAGAGAGAGAGACGATCCCAATAGGGAGCAAGACGATCCCAATAGGGAGAGAGACGATCCCAACTTCACAGAAGGCGATCCCAACTTCACAGAAGGCGATCCCAACTTCACAGAAGGCGATCCCAACCATATAGGAGACGATCCCAACAACACAGAGGACGATCCCAACCGTACAGAAGACTACAGCGATTCAAGAGACGACGATCCCAGCACAGAGAGAGACGATCCCAACAGAGGAAGAGACGATCCCAACAGAGGAAGAGACGATCCCAACAGAGGAAGAGACGATCCCCACAGAAGAAGGGCCGATCTACACAGAGATTGGTACGATCCCAGCGGTACAGGAGACGATCCCAGGACAATAGGAGACTATCCGAGTACAGTAGGAGATGATCCCTACCTAACAGGGAGACACGATCCCAACGTGATGGGAGACGATCCCAGCACATCTGGACACGATCCCGTTCCCACAGAAGGCGATCCCGACACCTGGGAGTTCCTTATCTCTATGCTTATTCCTCCTCCTCCTCCCCCTGGCTTCCCCCTAAGGGAGGAGGAGACACATATGCCTGCGGTGGCTGTACACCTGAAGGTGCCACACGATGCAGCAGCAGCAGCAGCAGCAACAAACAGCATAAGAGAAGCACGAGCACATCTAAGTATGCAGAGACGTCTTGTTATGCAGCAGCAAAGACAGTGGCAGCAGCAGCGGCAGCTGCAACGAGAGCTGCTGCAGCAGCAGCAGCAGGAAGACGAGCTGCTGCTGCAACACCAAGAACAGCAGCAGCTGCTAAGGAATCAGGAACAGCAGCTGCTGCTGCAACGCCAGGAGCAGCAGCTGCTGTTGCAGCAGCAGGGACACCAACACAGGCTGCGGCAGCAGGAACACCAACTGCTGCTGCAACACCAGCAGCAGCAGCAAGGAGGGCATCAAGTGCTGCAACAGCAGGAAGAGCAGCAACTGCTGCTGCAGCAGGAACAGCAACATCTGCAGCAGCAGCGGGAACAGCAACAGCTACAGCAGCAGCGGGAACAGCAACGGCTGCTGCAACAGCAGCAGCAGCAGGAACAGCAACACATGCTGCAACAACAGGAACAGCAACATTTTCTGCAACAGCAGCAGCAGAATGGGCAGCAGCTGCTGCAACAGCAGCAGCAAGAAGACCAACAGCTGCTGCGAGATCAGGAAGAGCAACATCTGCAGCAGCAGCAGCAGGAAGAGCAGCAGCTGCTGCAACAGCAGCAGCAACAGCACCGGGTGCTCCAACGGCAGGAACAGCAGTTGCTGCTGATGCTGCGGCAGCAGCAACTGCAGCACCAGCAGCAAGCGCAGCGGCGGCAGCAAGCGCAGCAGCAGCGACAATTGCGGCGGCAGCAGAGATTGCAGCAGCAGCAGCAACAATTAGGAGGAGAGCAACAGCAACAGCAGCAGCAGCGGGAGCAGGAACTGCAGCAGCAACTCCAAATACTGGCAGCAGCAGCAGCAGAAGCAGAAGAAGCAGCAGAGGCAGCAGAAGCAGCAGAAGCAGCAGCAAAAGCGTTCTATAGGCGTCGTTGATTGTTTTCTCTTTGCTGCTGCTGCTCTACTGCAGCAGCAAGACTTTTATTATCTGCAGCAGCAGCAGCAGCAGCAGCAACAGCAGCAGCAGCAAAATTTAATTTATATTAAACCTCTGCAACAGCAAACAATCAAGGGCGGATGCTGCTGCAGCTGCTGCAGTTGCTGCTGTTGCTGCAGCAGCACCACTCGTTGCTGTTGCTGCTGCAGATACTCTTGCTGCTGCTGCTGTTGCTGCTGCAAGTACTGCTGCAGTGGCTCCTGCTGCTGCTGCTGCTGCATTGTTTTTCTTGTTAGCGTTATCAATTATTTTTTAATTTAAATAAATAATTTATAAATAAATAAATAAATTAAATAAATAAATAAATAAATAAATAAATAAGTTAATTAATTAATAATAGATAATAAATAATAAATATACATAATATATCTACTGTATATTATCTATTATTTATTATTTATTTTTTATTTATTTTATTTATTTATTTTATTTATTTTATTTATTTATTTTATTTATTTATTTTGTTTATTTATTTTATTTATTTATTTATTTAATTAATAAAAGGACATATCCTACAAATTGAATGTCACTGTACGCATGCGTCTCCCGCTTGCTGCTCTTGCTGCTCCTGCTGCAGCAGCAGCAGCAGCAGCTGCTGCTGCTGCTGCTGCAGCTGCTGCAGAGGCAGCAGGGATATAATGCAGCAAGGCATAAGAAAAGTTCGCAGTTTATAAACTGGGCGTCTTTGCCCCCGCTGCTGCAGCAGTTGCTGCTGCAGCAGCAGCAAGCTGCTGCTGCTACATATATGCTGCAGCAGCAGCAACTGCTGCAGTAGGAACATTTGCTGCTGCAGCTACAACTCCTGCTGCTACTGTTCCCTCTCCTGCTGCTGCTGTTGCTGCTGCTGTTGCTGCTACAAGACGTAGCACCAGCAGCATAACCAATCTCCCTCCGCAGCAAGAAGAAAGGAATAAATAAATAAATAAATAAATAAATATAATTAACTAATTAATTATATTTATTTATTTATTTATTTATATTTATACAACATGTACCTTAAGAATAAATCTCTTATAATTAGTTGTTGGTTGCCAAGGACGAACAATAAAAAAAGAAAAGATATATTTTCCTTGTTTTTCTCCTTTTATTGTACTAATAAAAGGAACAGGAGCACCAACTAACCCTAAACCCTCTGATGCATTTACTCCTATAAATAAATAAAAAAAAAAAAAAAAAAAAATTCGAAAACCCTAAACCCTAAACCCAAAACC